GCGTGTTCTTCTGCCCCGCAGCGCGATGGCTGCCAACTGCGAGCGCACCTTCATCGCCATCAAGCCCGATGGGGTCCAGCGGGGGCTGGTGGGAGAGATCATCAAGCGGTTCGAGCAGAAGGGCTTCCGGCTGGTGGCCATGAAGTTCGTGCACGTAAGTCTCCGCTCCGGGCATCGCCCTGCGGCCGCTCTGTGGGAAACGCTTTTCCCTCGCCTGCCCGAATAGAACCTCCGTGTGGCATCTGCCTCTGCCGCTTCGGCGTCCGAACGGGAGTCGGATGTTGAATCCGCACAAGAGCTGGACGCACTGCATCGCACGGCACCTTGGGCCAGGCCTCCTGTCAAGCACAAACGTTTGATCTCTGCCATTTCCTAAGCAAACAAAATTTGCTCAGATGGCTTAATGCAGTGTAACTGAGAGCTGAAATGACCTTGACTGAAAGGTTGTATCACGTAATGTCCAGACATCTCGAGCTCAGCTTATTGTTGAGGATTACTGTAACGCAAAGAAATAATTTTGACAGGTCACACCGCTGACACTACTGCAGAGAAAGCCGCAGTGTCAGGCACTCCTTTCACTGCACAGCAGGAGCTTCCACTGAAACCCCCGTTAGCGTTGCAGCAACTCCCGATAATGTCAGTGACCGCTGAATCCAGGCACTAGCTGTTATCTTACAGTAGTAACTCCTTCTGCACTGTGATCTTGTGTAAGCGATATTTAAAGTTACATCTGTCCCTTTAAAGGCCTCTGAAGACCTTCTGAAACAGCATTACATTGACCTGAAAGACCGACCGTTCTACCCTGGTTTGGTTAAATACATGAACTCTGGACCTGTTGTGGCCATGGTAAGCAGCTTGATTTTACTTAAAGGCTACTTTCTTGACTATATTTGTCTCGCTCTGTAAATGGTTCTAAAATATTCAGATACACTGTTAAGGAAACACTTTTTCAAACTACCCAGTTCTGATAGGGGGAAAACCAAAATTAAAATGAAGACAATCAAGTAAGAAGTTACTTTTAATTAACAAGAAAGGTGTGCATGTATAAAATGCATATTAAAATGCTTAGCATGAACTGAGCAAAATTTCTGAAAGCCAGTCTTCTGCATCAAAGAATCTTTTTTGGATTTTGTGCTTGCCCTCCCCCACAGAAACCCATCTCCTGTGTCATTCCTTTTTGCACTCCCCCCCAAAACAACAGAATTCACTGCAGAAAGGTGGTACAGCAGTTAATGTTGAGGCTTGGTAAAGTGTCTCCTTCACCACTGTGACAGCATTGGTAGTCCTTTTTATATAAGGATTTGCAGGTTATGTGAGTTTTTCCCTAGTCTCTACAGGCATAGGAGAAAATCTAGGCTAGATTTATTTTTCTGCTGGTGGAGCCCTTGTTTCTTTACAAAGTATAAGTTATTAGCAAAGGTTAATCTCTGCAATTTTGTATAAGCATGGGTTAATAAGATTTGTTTGTCTGTTTTCCTTAAGGTATGGGAAGGACTCAACGTGGTTAAAACTGGGAGAGTGATGCTAGGGGAAACAAACCCTGCAGACTCTAAGCCTGGTACTATCCGTGGTGACTTCTGCATTCAAGTAGGAAGGTTTGTGCTCAGTTTGTTATCAGTTGGGATTGAAAACTCATTGTTGGTGGTCTTTTGGTCTAGAAGGTCAAAACTGTTGGTAGCTAGCCTAGTCTGACAGTATTTTATTTGCAGGTCACAACCTGTAACTGCTACGTAAGAAAATGGCATGTTGGTCCAAAACTGAGTTTTCTGACATACAGCTGCTCCACCAGAGCTTTGAGTAAGACCAGTCGGTGGCATTGGCTGCTGTAGTGAAGTAGCCCCGCTCAGCCCTGCTAGGCTTAATTTGCTCTTAGTGGGGGTGTTTGAATTCTGTACCTGAAATAGTGTCTTGCAGCTCTAGATGCTTCATCCAGGTTTCTGCATATGGAGAACTACTATTAGGTTACTGAAAGTGTATTTTGATTTGAAACAATGTGTTTGTCTCCTTCCACAGAAATATCATTCATGGCAGTGACTCTGTGGAAAGTGCGCAGAAGGAGATCAACCTGTGGTTCAAACCTGCAGAGCTCATTGACTTCAAGTCTTGTGCACATGATTGGATCTATGAGTGAAATGAGTTTCCCCAATGAATTGTGCCTTCTTAACACATCATCTCATTCCAGCTATTGACCTGGGAGCAATTATCACCACGGTTATCTTAGTCATTTTTCAGCAGTGTCAAATAAATGGATGATATGAACTAAATCATTGTGGCGCATTCACTGTGAAACAGACCCTGTGTTCAAATAGTCACATAAGTCATTTTACTCAGTCATTCAACATTCTCCTCTGGTAGGAGGGATAGTTAACGCCAACTCCCAAGTACAGGCATATCAGAATAAAAATTCAGTGACTTTTCTGCTTTGAAAGTTGCCTTGAAGGCTACTGAAATAGATGGCGGTCGCAGTGCCCAGCCAGCGTGCAGAGGGAGCTAAGGCACACTTCAGCTACTTCCAACTCAGCAGAACTAAACTGGCAGAAGAATGTCACACCACTCCACGACAAAATTTTTTCGCCTCCCTACACAACTATTAATACCAACCGTGAGATACGTGAGTGCAAGTGCAAAGCTTGCTCTCTATTAAACGCTTATCTCATGCCACCTTCTCATATTAAAAATCTTACCTCATGCTTTATTTGTGCTCAGAGTAACAGCCCCACTTCCCTCTAACATTCACAGTTGTACAAATTGGGGATTTTTTTAATCTGCATTCTCCTAGGAGAGAAACAAGCTGGAATGTGTTTATGTGCCTGCCAAGGAGTGCCTTAGAAACAAAATAACCACTGTTCAGAAAAAAAGACTTTTTATAATTTTTATTTTGTGTAAAAAAGGCAAATTTAGTGAATTATTTTCATCTTGTACACAAAGTTATAATTTTAATGCTTTTCACATCCATGCTGAAAATCTGCAGTCTCGTAAAAATGAAAGTAACATTAATTTCTCCAAAAGCATTTTTTCACTTAGTTATGTACATTGCATGAGAAAGCTTTAAATAATCTCTCTCATCGACCACACAAATTACCAAGAAAATAAAAGATTAAATTTGTACAGATATTGATCTATATATCAAATACATACAGAAATGATGTAAAAACCCTATTGGTTTAATCTTGATTCCCGCCCCAACATTTTCCCAGGGGCCAAAGCTGATGCCTTTTTTGTATAAATGGCTGTGGCTTTTTGTTTTAAATATGAAAATTAAAAGGAAGAAAAAAATTCAGTTTAAATCACAGTTTTTCAAAATCCCTTCCCAATAAAGGATTGTTACCAAATATATTAGCACCATCGTACAAATATTGACAGGAGAGGGTATTCACATCACATAAAACAACAATAAAAAACAAACAAACACTGAAACCCGTGTTAGTATCCGTAGAACAAGGAATTGATAACTGCTTTAGCTTTCCTCAGATGCAGCAAGGAAAAGGTTAAAGAGTTGTATTTAAAATAACATAAAAATCAAAAGATCAGCAGAGAGATTTTGAGCACTACAACAAGGGTAGCTGCAGAGTAAGGTACATCTCTTGTGCTACCTTATGGTTATAAAAACCTGCTATGCCAAATACTGAAATTAGTCTGACCCCAGTGAAGATTTCAGATGTCCAACACTTTGCTGCTCTTTTAGCCAAGTAACTTGGCTTAAAGTAAAGTGAAGATAAAAATACCTCGAGCCATGTTACTAACCAATGCTTTACAAATACAGTGCAGCCTTACTATGGATACCCCAGCAAAGAGGTAACCCACTCTTTGAGGGACCATTCTCTAAATACCCAGTAGAATTTTGCTCAGATTTTCCTTAAACCTCTCCTAAGCAAGTGACTTCCATTAGTTCTTTCCGTGGCTTGCTCAGGACAGATTTCACTGTACTTGACAGTTACACAATTTCAGTACATTTTGAATTCAGAAACATGAGAGAAATTTCACCCATAAATCTCAACACCCAACTTCTACTGAAATCACGTGTGTATCTGAGAACGCAAGTCAACTCACATACTTTAGTGTTTAATGAATAAAATACCTAGTTTTAAAGAACTTATAAAGACTGACAGACTTCAAATCCAATTCTTACATTTCTCCAACACAGAAGTGTGTTCAACCTAAGTGCTCATCTTCCCTCTTGACATTTGAAGATGATAACTCAGACATCAGGTGTGACTGGGAAACCAAGTTCTGAGCCTGGGCAATGCACAGAAGCCCAAGGTTTCAGGAGGTGGCAATGTACCTCGCTCACGACTAGCCCAAATTTTCACATTATGAAACACAAATCAATGCAACGGCTTTTCTACTGAAGTCAGAAGCTATCGATGAGAGAAGAAAACAAGACCGTGCCAACCTTGTTCCAGCTGACTAGGACAATCTGCAAGTTGTTGCATTAAAAAAAAAAACAATAGTGATGTACTTACCAAAGCAAATCAATGCTCGCAGACAGGAGGTAATGGAGAACACAGGAAAAAAAAAAACAATCAAGGCTTAAAGTGTGATTACAATGGTCTCTAATCCTACTTCTCCAATCCAGGCTGTTCAAAAGAAACATCATGGGTAGGTCAGAATCTGAGAGAGGGTATTTGAAGTCTACCAAGCCTGACAAAGTCCTTTTAATGGCTGTTTTAGAGAGCTAAAATGTCTTTACCACCTGAAGTTACAGAGACTTCTAATCTGATAACCAGATTCTGTCAATATAAGCTGTTGTTAAAAAGGGGTCATTATTTAAGAAATTTTACCAGTAAGGGAGAATAGAATTCCAGACATTCCTACACTATACAGGACATTTTTTTACTTCCAGTAGTAAATACAAAACTTTACATAATTAACCCCTCTTGCATAGAATGAGGTAAACCTGTGCATATTACCAATACTATGTACCCAAGTTAGAGCAATATTTTAGAAAATAATCAAATTGCTGGTTTTCAACTTTCTATGCACTTTTTTTTAAGCTCAAACAACAATATACAAAAATGGTCTCCTGGGGCTCTGGGGGTTGATATCCTTAAAGCATTTCTTAGGCTGTAGGAACACAGGCATTAATCACTTCAATTCTTTTTTTGTTTTAAGCCCTAATTTATGGTCGAGTCAGATGATCATTGTACTGCTCTGAAGGGGACCTGCTAAGACCCAGAAGCACTTATAGAACATACGCAGTTAATTCCTGAGAGTTTAGTTAATGAACCTTACTGGTAAAAGCTAAAGCTCTTGATGCACATCTTCCCAGTCACAGCTCTGCAGAGCTGATTAACCAGTTTACTAATCAACTCCATGAATGACATCATTTACAAAAATGTACAAAGTTTAAAAATACAGAAAGATAAAATCCATGTTGTTAAGAGCTCACATTAAAATACTTTGTATTTTACTGGTAGTCATTTTCACCCTTTTACATGACTTTGCCTTTAAAAAACCTGGACAGTTAAGCAGGTGAGGCTAATGGGGTACTTGAAGTGAGACACAAGGATTCCAGGCAATAAGCAAATCCAGTTTATGAATTCTATACTAGACAATGTATGATTTATACGCTGTTCTCAAGTCTCGACTTCCATATTACACTATTGCAGCAAGAAACGAATATTGCAGGCTGTGCAGAACCAAACTTTTTTTAACCCACAATGTACGGCTCCTTTTAGCTCACCTGAAATCACGCAGAACATCTGTTTTGAATGTTCAGAAATAAATATTTAAGATGGTAAGGAAACACCTAGGTCTTTCTGAATGGGGAAAAAAAAATAATCAGAAGAATACTCAGAAGTTCCTTCCCACTACCAAGGTAGGCCTGAGTTACTGTCCATCTAAGCTGCTGCTTTAGTCTAAATTCATAGCTAAAACTAATCTTCCAAATGAGGGAATTTTCTGAAGTTCCAGTATGGCATAGGGCTCTGTAAACAGTTGCTGAAGCATTCCAAGACTACAGACATTCATGTACAGACAAGAGCTTTATAGTCCCAATCCAACGCCCACTGCAGTCAGTGGCAACAAGGCTACTGATATTAATGGGCACTGAATCAGACCCTAAGGAACTTTTTTTTTTAAAAAAAAATCTTCTATAAAAAAAAGTATTCTAAACTAAATAAAGACATCTTGAAAAGTTAAAATCTTCCTCAGGCGATGGCTCCATTGCAATCGGGGCTACTCACTGAGTAGAGCTTTACAAGACTATCTTCCACATACAATTTATGCCTCTCAATTAGGGCTTAAATGCCTTATTTCCACAATAAAAAGCAGAGGCGTGACCAGTGCAGTTCACAAGAGTCTAAAAGTCTCCCAACTTGTACCAAAAAGGTTCATTTGTTGTGACAGTTCATTTGTATTTGCAACTATATCTTCCTCCAACCGCTTCCCACAATCATGCTAATTAAACTTTAATCTTACAAAAAAATTAGAATTTCAGTTCTTGTTAACAATGCACAATAAATCTGAACTTGAAAATATTACAAAATTCTTTCAAAAGCTTCAAATACAACACAAAAGTGTCCATTTTTGTTTTTAATAAATTGAAAAATCTTTTTCACTAAAATAGTTTCCCCACCCTTCCAAAAAATTCTGAACGGAGTCTAACTCATTACAGTTAGCAAAGTGCCCCAGGTACAGTCACCTGAACTGTACCATCCAAGTGGGAACAAAATCAATCAGTCTTGGAGAAAGGCTCTTTTCCTATCACCAGTATTCTGCCCCTCACTTTTCTGAGCTGCCTCATGGTTCTTGTTTGATGTAGTAACTGGCAGATCCATTGCTTTCCTGATCAGATGCTCCTTGAAGGTAGCTATACTCTTCTCCATCTAGCAACTCCTCCTTCAGTTGCAATGAAGTCACTAAAAATAAGAGAGGAACGTTTAAGATATATAAAATTCAAAGTACAACTTTTCTTTAAATCTACTTAGTATTATTTAAATTGGGAACCAACCTCAGATTTCCCATTTTCTTACATTCTGCATTTTAGTGATTCTTCTTTTAACACTCAATATCTCACAGAAAGTAGATGTTTTCTGACTGTAAACTGAACCTTAAGTTATGCTCTAATAGTAACATATTTGAACAAATTACTTTCAATAATATATTCTCTACAGGGTTTTCACAAGAATTTAGTATTTTAAAACACTGGTTTAAGAAGGTAACTGTGCCATGTTAATAGAAATAATGACTACGGCTCAGAAGAACGTTTATTTTACTGTTTACTCTTTTGTTTATGCTTTACTTCCTATTTAGTCTTTACGCA